TGTATATCTATTGAATAGAGACGCTTGATTATTCAAAACGGTAGGCTTAGACGTATTTGCTTTAATATTTAAAAAGAAATGAATAAATACAGATATGTGTTTTATTAGCATTATTTTAATTACGTTTTTTTTGATTTTGAAATGACGTGGTCGCGGTAAGACGTGTTGAACCTTTAAACCAAACCAAATTAAAACCAAATTTACAAGAGCGAATACAAAAACTATTATGATATTTATAAAATTTCTGAAAATCTAAGATACTTTTTTCATTATAAAGATCTTTGGAGTGAATGGCTACGATGGACAAGGAAATAGGAAATTGACAAAATGTAGTTCGTTAAAAGGCGAGAAATCAATGTTTTACGGTCAAGAGCATCGGAATCTCAAAATAATTTTTCTTTTCCGTCTGCAGTTGTACGAATATTGTTTTCTTTTGTTTTATTAATCTTCATTCGCGAAAACTACAAACACTTACAGCACTTACAGATGTCGATAGCAACGTTTACTTACTCTCGACTGGATAAACGTCGTAAGGATAAAGCAAAACCAACACTTTTTTATTTAATAACTAGAAGACCTGGCGAACTTCGTATCGCCCTATAATAAAGATATATGTATTACGTTTTTTTATTTATATTTTTGGAGTTTACCTGTAAGCCATAAATCTCCGTGTTTTGAAGTGCGACAGAATGATTGACATATTAGTTAGTTGTCAAATCTAATCTCAAAAAAAAAACGTTTGTATGGGAAATAGCAAAGGGCTGTTTTTATGGTTTTCCCAGTAATGAATCAATTTTTTTCAGCTTTTATACCTTCCCTGAACGTCCACGAACATTTCAAGACTAAGATAAGATAAATCCGTTCAGCTGTTCTCGAGTTTTAGCGAGACTAAGGAACAGCAATCCATTTTTATATATATAGAAGATAATATATATGAACCAAATGTGGTATTCATTAAAAGGAGGAATATATGTTTCCGTACTAATATTATAAATGCGAAAGTAACTCTGTCTGTCTGTCTGTTATGCGTTCACGCCTAAACCACTGAACTGATTTTAATGAAATTTGGTACAGAGATAGAGTTGTCCTTGAGAAAGAGCTAAAAATATATATACGATCTATTTAAATCACACCTAAAGCGTTAACTATCCCAATGTTATGGAATAAAAGTTTAGTCTAAAGGAACCCGTCAAGTAAATTTCTAATGCTCAATAGTTTTGAAATATACTTATTACTTTTAAATTATATATGTAGTATAGTCTGCTGGATTTTGCATCTAACTTTCAAATAGTTTTGTCGAAATATATTACAGTACTATCCGTAGATTTGAAATGTTTAAGTCACTAACGGGAAAATGTATTCAAATTTGTATAAATTTATTGTCGTGACAATATCTGTTTGTCACAATGATTATATTATGTTTCTAATTAATATAATTAAATTAACATAACGTATTTCATGTATCAATTTCTATAATTATACAATTAGTAACAGTAGTATTATACTATAATTGTTATATGAAGCTTCTGTTTAATAGCATATGCAAATATGTGCTTTAAAATCTATCTTGTTATTTCTTCTATAACGCATTGAAAAAAAAAAACAGGACATTATTTAAATAATAGTTCTTCTTATTTTATTTGTTGGATCTTTTAGAAAATTATTAACTGTTTGTTGTAATATAATTTATATACAAAACTTGCGATTCATTATAAGTTAACTATCATATGAAACGATGTTTAAAATACTTAGAAAGCTACATAAAAATGTAATAGCAATTAATATTTCACGTTTACCGTACAAAAGCCGGGCGTTGCGCTGAATTACCGGCCCTCTGGGATGAAATCTACTCTGTAACTTATATATTATTCAATCTCTCCTCAGGTATGATGTTTATTAGTCTGAAAATAAATTCGCTTTTATGTCCAGTGACCTTTGTCGAGTTCACTACGGCCGGGTAAAATGTTGGAAATGAGGTTAGCTCTGTTGTTAGTCAACTTTGCCATATAAAAATATCATTACTCATCTTATTAGGGTCTCTGAGTGTGTTATTACGGAGGCCATTTGAACTGGATGTTATATTATTTATTGATAAAACTTTTTTATTCTAGATAGTGCTAAGTGAAAATAGAAAAACAATTTGTAGTAAATATTACGATCTCCATAAATTTTTCTTTCACAAACAGACAGACGTGTACATGGATTTTATTTTTATAGAAATCTTAAATGATTTGGAATCAATAAATAAACATCTTAATTTAAATTCAAAAACCTAATAAATCTACTTAATAGACGATCATCTGTGTATGTTAGTCAACGTCATATGAAAGGAAGTATAATTTTCCAAGTTGCAACACATCTTATAATTGCATATCCAGTTCTTATGTTTTCCACGTCACAGTTGAATGCACTCCACTGCACTTGCACTCAGCCCCAGCCATTGACCCTGAGCAGGTTGAAGTTGGAGGTTTTTATAAGAAGGATGACACACGAGGGTTAAATATTCTATTTTACTTATTATTCAAAGTAGCATTAATATTATACTGTTTGTTTATAAACTATTTGAAAGCCTTAGATGGTAGATAAAAATACTTCAACATTTTCCAAATAGTTTTCCTTCTATCGATAAGACGGTTTTATTCCTTTTATTTTGTGCATATGCTTATAATAAAAACAAATTGTTATAAGAAAATAATTTCTATAACGTGAACTTTTCCCACTTTTCTCTTTAATTTGTAAATACATTAATCTCGTTAAGTGTATAAAAATATGTTCTACGGTTATTCAAAATGAACAAAGCTGCGGATCAAAGTTCGTATAAAATATTTACGAAGGCAATTTAATATTATTCCGATATGTAAGTTCTTTATGAAACAAATTCAGAATACAATTTTATAAAAGAACGTCATAAGACGTACACAATGAAGTCTTGTTGGATCGGTTCCGATGGAAGGCGAGATTGAATCAGTATATCAAATCTCATATACAGACGTCAAAGAATATTATAATACACATGATTATTAAAAATATATGTTGACCGTATACAGCGAATGTATGGATACAAAAAAAAACAATCACAATATGGCTGTGTCGTGAATACATGAAACACGTTGTCAATTTAAATAAATGTTATCGTTTCATCATGTTCCATCCTGTACCAATCGCGGGGTGAACACCCTGACAGACTTGGAAGCATAAATACAACAGAGGTATCCGTAGAATATCCACGTTAGGGTTGTCGCTCGGAAAATTACGATGAAACTACGAGATATGTTTAATTAGATAAGGGTTGTCACGCCAAGTATGTTGCAGTTAATGTAGATGTTTTGTTTGTTGAATATTACATCGCTTACCCGGGAGTTAAGTCAGAGGTATGCAATCTATTTTGTTATTCTACGCTATGAACTATAGCTATGACGTAGGAACTTTCAATACCACGATTTTTATTACACATTGCATCTAAACATACATGTAGGTACTACAGGTTTCTTTTTTCCGTGTATAAAAATGGAACTCCGTGAAATCCATTTCTGGTAACACGTCAACGAAATATTCATCAAAAAATACTGTGGTCGAACCGTACATTTCAAAAGATGTAGATGTGAAGCTTTTAGCCGAAAATTCCTTTGTCAGCATGCATGGAATTTTTTTCATTATCCATTCGAATTCTCATTGTGGTCGGGAAATAAAAAAAAATTGAATCATTAATTATGGGCAATCCGATATTCATTTCATAGATTTCTAATATATCTAATTTACATAATATGGTATTTTAAGTCTTTGTAGAGTGTCTTTTAAGATACATTTTTATCTGACAAAATATCATTTCAGATGTATTTAATGGTATACCCGTATATTTACTCAATTATTCGTTACGAATTAGGAGACACAATTATTTTAACTAATCAATTTTCAAGCGAAACCAAAGTATATTACTTTATTTTAACATCGTAATGAATTTAAAATGAGTTACAAAAGGTTATTTTGATAATATATACATGACGTCTCATTTAACTATGGCTGGTTTGACGTTGACCTCTGTAATCCTAATCATATATCTAATATAACATGTTACCAATTAGTAGCTAGCCATGAACCAAAACTAAAATATTGTTATTGTTTTGCGAATGATTGAACAGAAATAATTAATTAATGTAACGTTATATTATCTTTATGAATTAAATTACGAATTGTTTTGGATTAAAGTGAATTATTTTGGACATAAATTGCTTATATATAAAACAGTAGAAAACAATTTCAACAAAAAATATTGACTAATGTTTAAATGGAACTAAAACTGAAAGTGTCAGAAAATGATAACGGTTGCTGTAAAGGAACTGAAACGTTAGGATTATGAACATACAGAATAATAAAAAAGCGTAGTATCCGAAAAACTTATTTTCATTTTTCTGAAACCTTTGATATCCATTAGTAATGTTTTTATTAGATTTACGTATACATTAAGTTAAGGAAGTAAGTTACTCTACAATTAGCGTATATTGAATTTAAAGCTTAACAAAGAAGTGTTCTGTTTCAATATAATTATAAATCTGGTAGTCAATTACTCTTTGAAAAGACTGAAGGCAAATACGTTTTCAAAATATTTGTTAGGGTAATGTAGGCTCTTTAATAATATATTTTAAACAAATTCACGAAACAGTAACTTGGAATTTATTTATCCAATAGTTTTTTTTGTATACACAAACTGTCATTATTTTTTTCAAAACTATTTTTTTAATTCATAACAAATCATAAGAAATGTCTTCTTAAGAAGAAAAAATATAATTTGACAGTTTCTGACATATTGTTTTCAATCGGAAGCATAATATTTAGAATTTTATTCCCTGTTTATTAACGAATTCTTTTTTATGTATAGCTCAGCTTAGTTACACACTTGATATTGGCAAAATCTATGAGAAGACGCCAATAACTTAAAGAGTAGAATAGAATTTCATTATTTTCTTTAGTAGTCTAAAGATTTTGTTAAAAAACCTGAAATCATGACTGAAGTAGACGTCAAGAAAAGTAAAAGTAAAGTATCCATGCATCAAGTTAAAAGTCAATCGGCTACAAGATCACAAATGATTCTTGGTCCAAAATCAACCAGCAGGCTAAAGGTCAGAAGACAGTCGTTTGGTTTCTCCGGTGTACCCGGGATAAGACCAGTTGAAAGGACTTCACAGGTAAAATTTTTCTTTGTTACTTTTATCCAAAATTAACAATTACAACCTTTTTCTTATAACATTCATTTGAGCCTCCTAATTTGTATCTATAGACAGCAATAGAGTTCAAACGTCCACCGTTATACTATCTGCCTACCTACCAGTTGGATTCCAATAATCCATTTCATGTACCTTTGGTTAGAGCTGCAACAGATGAAACACTTGATGAACATTTTACGGGTCATAAGTACAACATGCAGGTATTTACTGTTAACTTTATAGTAAAAGTTTGATGTTTCCATTAGTTAACATAACTTTGCTAATCATTCTTTTAATTTGCAAGGCTTTTTCTTCAGCTTGTTGTAAGTCTGTATAATTATTCAGGAATCTCCAGCTCTAGCTCTTCGTATAGCAGGAGAACTCATGCGCAAAGTGAAGGCGATGCAGTTCAATCGCTATCGCGTCATCAGTGTCGTTACAATCGCCCAAAAACGAGCTCAGTCATACAACAATACTATAGCATTTCTGTGGGACCACGAGCGGGACAATTATGTAGATGTCCAAAGAGAAGTTCATACTGCATTTATTCAAGTCACTACATTTGGTGTGTATTTCGATTGAACTTGGATTAGAACGTAAGGGCGCGTTTACAGAATATTGTTCTCAGGATTTTCATTTATATCATGGCGTTTGAAATTTTTGAAAATTTTTGAAAGTAAAGCATCTTTCAAATTAAAAAAAAATATATATATTTTTCTTCCGCAACGCCCTTAATGGTTTCGCACCCTTAGGGTTGCTTACGTATAAAAGTATGGTTTGTAATATCTTCGTATGTTTTTATTTGTCTGGAGGACCGGAGATTGTTAATAAAGCAGCATCTTTACGGTCGATGTATTTTGTGATATATCTTAATAAAGTATTTATTGTATACAGAGCGTTTTAACTTTTGAGAATTCATTTATAATAAAATGTTTCATACAATGTATGTACTTATAAGTCCTCCAAATCCCCCTTCAAGATTTTAATGTTGAAATATGAACTAATCTAAATCCTTTCAATTCTACATCTCATTATTCCCCTTTAACTATTATGCTGTTTGAAATTGCGGTATGCATACTTGTAAATGCTCAAACGAGCAGTGGAATTGCAAGCTACATCTGTTGTTTCAATTTGGTTCCTTTAAAATTCATTCCCTCATTTCAGAAGGAGCGATACGTTCGGTCTTTGTATTTGTTTTTTCAATTTGTCTATTTCTTTGGACGATGCTGTTGAATTTTTAAAGACATTGCCTTAGACGGGATCATATAATTGAATGTTAACCGTATAAAGAAATTCCGAAAATGCTAACAATTCAACATTTACAGTGTTAATACTAACAATGAAAGGAAACATTCGTTATATCTAAGACATTGTAGATTATATTATATAAGCAGAAAATTGATGCAAATCGTATTTTAAGTTTAGTTCGTACAAACTAATTCAAAGGAAACTTTACGGCTATCGTTTCAGCAACGAGAACAAGTTTGTCGTTACCCGCATGAGAAGGATCAAGCCTTTCTCGGTGAGTTAGGGAACTATTTCTCTTATAATTATAAGAAATAAGTGAGTTTTAAGGAGGCTTTATCTCTAGTATATATAACATACCTAATCTTAATTTTTACGAAAAATTAAACAGCAATAAAGACAATTGCACATAAACAAGCAAAAAATTATTTCTGAAGATTCGTTTAATTACATTAACAACAATAAAACGTTACGCCGTGCCATTTGTTTTGTCTAAAATTGCATTTAAACCTTTTACAGCGAGGTACATTTGTTGCAATCATAAAATTTTATTAGCTCTCAGGTGATTGGCCGGTGGGAATGTCGTTAAAGAACATGGGTACGTGTATTCTGCGGCACGTTTTTCAACTACACAAAAATTTTATCAACGCTGACATCGCACATATTTATGAAACTTGAATGTAAATGAGCACAAGTTAATCTAGTATACAAACAAATTCTAAATGAATTTATTTTATTATTAGCAACAGACTTTAGTTCATATAGCCGAAATGCAGTCAGGATCATATAGCTTTGATTTTCTTAAATTAAAATTTGAACTCAAACGAATTGGTTGTTAACTTTTAATCAAGTATTGTTTATTGAGGTAATACCCAAGTTATTTATTAAACAGTCTGAGTTCACTCATTGTTTCAGTCTCAATATTTTCTATGCAAATGTTTTTGTGAACGTTCAACGATATACTTTGCTGCATGAATTTAACAATGCTTATTGCTCTCTATTTAGATTTTGACTCGAATAAGTAACCTTATTTGTAAAGAAAATTTCGTTTTGCTATTTTACTTCGATGGAATAAAATTGGATACAAAAAGATCAAACGGAATTTAGATAATGTATGGAATAACAAGCATCTTGTTGACAACTACATATATTCAATAATGATATTACCATATCATTAATGATTTACGAATCATTATAATGATTCCAAATGTGACGGACTAATGAAATTGACAGTCAAATATCCTAGCAACCCGTCATACACAAAGAGCATACATTACCAGCAAAACCGATATTCGATTAATTATTAAGACATGAATCTATTTCAAAGGACCTTCAAAGCAATCTAACTTGCGTGACGAGGAAACGACGTTTAAAGTGAATTTTCGTTTGATGTCACGAAACTTGGTTTTGATTTTCTCGTTTTCATAAAACAATTGAAATGATTATCATTCAATGAATAAATGTCAATTGTATTTATTCATTATATTATAAATAATTTAGACAATAGTTATGGAGGTATTTCAAGGGAAGGGAATTGGTTTTTATAAAGAAAGACGTAAAAGAAGTAGGTGGACGACGTGAAAGTCGTGATTAACTTAGAGTTGTAGATCAAAAAAGTTTAAAGAAAAAAATAGAAGACAAAACGATGACTTAATTACCTCGTTACTCTCATTATTTTAAATAGAAACTTACGCTGTCAGATGCATTAGTTATTTAATACTTAATTTATATGCACCATAACGACTTTATCAACAATGTTTAAGTTAAATATAATTTACCTTCGATCTGACATTTACAATTTTCAATCTTCAATGAATTTAGAGATAGTAAGAATTCCCTAATATTAAGTACGGCAAATGTAAATAGAAATTTTCTTAATATGATACTATACTTTAATTAAGATACTGTCTTTAATCAACAAACTGTTATTTGAAGACTAGTTGGACAGCCAGACAATAAATACCGACTGTTTATTAGAAGCTACCTGAACCTTAGCAACGAAAGGAAGATTACTCTTGTTAAATATTTATAACATTAGCACTCCAAAGGTTTATTCATTCGAAGACGCGGGCACTTTCTCAAAATATTTTGAGCAAATAAATTTAATGTTAAATAAATGGAATATTAAATACGATAAAGTTTAGGTAAGATTTGAAACGTTAAATCAACTGTGAAATAAAATTATTATAATAATGAAAATGTTTGTTTTAAAACATTCGTGTGTATTGTTTATTGAAAAAACAGGTCCAAATGTTTGCCCAAGTTCAAGGTCATTTAACGGTATAAATCATTGCTAATGGCATTCCACACGACACAGTTTTCGAGCAAACAGAATGGAAATCAGGTTTTTACTGCTACTTAGTACATTTTTGACAACAGAAAACAAGCTCGAGTTATAGCTTTATATGTACGTATAACGCTACACTTTTCGTTTTCGTCAAGGACGATATTACTATTACAACTATTATAAACTGTCCATGGAGTGAAAGACCATAACAATTTAATTTAGGAGACACTAGACACTCAACAATAAGAAAATATTTATAGAAACCCTTCAAATTAGAGTAGAGACGAGATGTAATCAACCGTTTTATTTATAAATCACAACACTGTCTGCTCTGAGAAGTGAAATCACCCGTCTCTTTGACTTCTTTATTGGAATTTCGATTGTACTGAAGCCATTTTACATATGAAACAAAAACGACCTTCATTGTTCTTATCTTACATTTAAATTCAAGACCAAATGTAGCTAGATTCAAGTAATTTTTTGTTAAAATATTAAAAGCTATATGAAGCAAAAGTAATAAGAATTATAGAAATATATAAAATAAATATTTGAAAGGAGTTATTACTTCTGCTCTTCAATATAATTCTATTTATATTCAGTCGGTATTCTCAAAGCACATTTCTTAACACATTTCCTTTGTGACTAAATTGCTATTGAAAGATATCTACAGGATCGGGATAAACCAAATCACATTCTTTAAGTGACGATTCCCCAGAAAAATAAGTTTTTTTTAGGACACAATTTCTATTGTAATTCATTCTATAAAGCTGGGGGAATAAATCTGAGGGTATAACCTTTAAATATTATATAGATTTAGTATAAGTGGTTGTTAAATTTTAAAGAAATGATGTTGATTTAACGAAATTCTTTTAACTGAGAAATTTAACAGATTGAAATGAGATTACATCATAGTACAAATTGTTAAAATTAAAGTAAGATATCGTAACAATAATTTTGAGATTCGTCACTAAATTTAAAACGCGTAAGTGTTATGCAAATTAGGAGACAAAACAAGATTCAAATCCTTTGATCAAATTTTGTTACAAGTTTAAATAAACCGCGGATGATCGACACGTGACTCCGATACAGGTTTCTGTTGCCGTGATAACGAGGTTATACAACGTTATATTGCACCATAACATAACGTGAGCCGATAAGCAAATAATTACACACAATTTCATGGTTTAGCGACATTTCGTGTTGTTCAAATGTTGCTGTTATTTTAGTTTGATACGATTGTACTTACGTATGATATTATTACGATTATATGTTAATCAGAAATTATTTTACCATAGTTTAAATATTATGTTGACATTTGCTATCGTTGTCTTATAAGTGTTGTATGAAATAGGTTAACACCATAACATAACGTGAGCCGATAAGCAAATAATTACACACAATTTCATGGTTTAGCGACATTTCGTGTTGTTCAAATGTTGCTGTTATTTTAGTTTGATACGATTGTACTTACGTATGATATTATTACGATTATATGTTAATCAGAAATTATTTTACCATAGTTTAAATATTATGTTGACATTTGCTATCGTTGTCTTATAAGTGTTGTATGAAATAGGTTAATATAGTAAATTTTTCACAAAAATAAACCGCGTAGTATATCAGAAAAATATTAGCTTAATTTAAATGAAGAAAACTCGCGAAAGTCTTAGATCTCATTAGGTTAAAGGACAACAGATTAAGAAAGTTGTTTAAAAATTAAAATCGTGAACATGACTAATAAACTTGATTCATATTTTCCAGCAGTCAGTAGCCTCTAGAAGACATAAAGCTTTGGCATTAATACGTATAAAGTAACTTAAGCCAAAACAGTAATCCGAAGTAGTTTTATGAGAGGCGACGGGATGTCTTTGGAACACTTATCCCTAATACAAGTCAACCATGACGACTGGACCGGAGTTTACTCAGAGTAGAATTTGACAGAGACTTGAAATAAAAACAAAAAATATGTTATAAAATCTAAATAAAAGTCTTAAAAGTAAAAAAAATACATAATAACTAATCATATGTCATCATCTATAATTATGTTTCA